TTAAGATTTGACTGAGACACTGATCTGACCTCGTATGAGGTTTGATATAAGCTTAAGCTTACAGAACTTTAAAAAGCCTTTAGTCGATATTAATTCACCTTAAATAGAAAGAAAAAACTTTCCGAAGAATATTTAGTTATAATTTTGGCTGTAGAAAGAAAGCTTTGAACGATTTTCTTTTCGTGAGTTCATCTTTGAAAACAGCCAACACCGGGAAACCGGTGGCTTAAAACATAAACTTTAAGCTTACTAGTAAAGACTTGAGGATTCTTAGACACACTTAAATGCTCATTTAATTGTTTTCGTGAATGAAAATTGTTGTCTCTGTAAATGTTCTATCGAATTATTTTTCTTTATTGATTTTTGGTAGTCTCAAAAGTGTAATTTTCATCGCTTTGCCGTTTGTTTTCAGGCGTTCATAAACATCGCTTGCAGGAGTACTCTAAATGCCAAGCGTATCAAGCGCTTTTTAAGATTACCCATCGTTATAAAACCGTTAATAAAAAATAGGCTCAGTAAATTCTTCATCAAATTTGGCGCTTGTCAAAAGTTAGAACCGGCTGGCCGTATAGGTGATTTTGGAATTTTTTGAACGGTTTCGCTAATTAAAAGTCCACGCGTGCCTCTATGGTCCTGAATATTGAATGAATGCAATTTGTCTTGAAAAATTGTGAAATACTGCATTTTGTACGAGGTCTGTATGATAAAAACAGCGCCTCATTGTACTCTTTCTCCTCAGATGTGGTGTATAAAAAAAAATAAAAGATTGGCTTGCACGCACCCAGATTTATTGGCAAGAATTTGTAAACTTGTCGAACGCAAAAAATTCGGTCTGATTTGTTTTCCAAGAATTTGTTTTGCACGCCTTATCTACTGTGATCAAGAGCCATCATTGCTCTTAAATGTGGCCGAAGACTATTTTTTGGGTGTACAAATAATGCTATATCAGCTCGATACAAAATTTGTTTCACTCCAAAATCACTTAGCTTTTCCCTCAAAAGTCACATGAATGTGCCCTTACGTTAACTGATTTGTGGAATACAAAATTATTGTTTGATTTAAGTCATAAATTTATCAATGGGAGCTTCGCTTTTAGCTGTGGCTAAATATATATATTAGTTAGTATGGTTTTAACCTTATATGCTTAATACATGACTCAGGATTTTTGGAGACACTTTAATCTCAATACTTGTCTTCATGAATGAAAATTGTTGTCTCTTTAAATTTTAAATTTTTCACGAATTATATTTCTTTTATTGATTGATGGTAGTCTCTCTTGCAATTTTAATCGATGTGCCCGTTGCTTTCATCATGATGCGGTCATTTTTATAATTTGTTGTGCAAAGGAAGCGCGTGCTTTGATCGTCCTGAATGTTGAATGAGTGCAATTTGACTTGCAAAGTTGTAAAAAACTGCATTCTGTCCGAGGTCTGTATGATAGAAACAGCGCCTCATAGTACTGTTCACCTCAGATGTGATGTATAATAGTATAAAATGCTGGTTCACCAGATTTGTCGAATGCAAAAAATTCGGCCAGATTTTGTTTTCTAACAATTTGTTTTCCAGGCCTAATCTGCCGTGACTACGAGCCATTATGGCTTTTAAATGTGATCGAAGATGATTGCTATTTTTTTATACAAGGCTATTAACTCGATTTGTTTCACTCTTTCACTCTTTGACTGTTTGCAAATTATTTTTCTCTAAAATCACTTGGCCTTTCCCTCAAAAATCACATGAATGTTCCCTTAAGTTAACTGATATTTTTTATTACAGGTTTTAACTATAAATTTATTAATGGGAGCTTCGCTCTTAGCCCTAGCTATTTACGATAACGTTTCCAGAAAATCCGGTTAGAAAGGAAAAAGAACACGATTTTGCGGGTCGATCGTTTCGGTAGAAAGTGGAAAATTTCCGGGAACTGCGGAATTTTGCTTTTTTTATTGCGGAATGTTCCAAACGGATATTAATGTTCCACTTCTTGAAAGCCATTTTTGATACCAGTTTCAGGCTGTCGTGACCGTTTTTTCGGTAAATGGCACTGATATGCGCAAATTGCAGAGGAGGTTTTGGGGCAAAAAACCCAAGGAGTTTTGCCATGTTCATGACAAACAACCCGTATGTTTTCTTTACCAAATAACGCTTTTTGCATCATTACAGAAAACAATAACCAAGAGTAAATATAACATTAACTATATGTACGCCATAGTTATATTATTCTTATGTGGACCAACCTATGACAATAAAACGCTTATTTTACTTCTGGTAACCTTATACCAATAGGGTTTTTCTCCCGGTTGAAGCCTGAGTTTTCGTAGACGCCAATCAACTGGTTCCATGTTTTCATCGATTTACTTCAAAATCGAAGGCTAACTTTTCAAATAAAGCGTTTCTAATTTCGTTGAGAACTTAGAACTTAGAACCTTGCGCCCACGGCGCTCGCGTAGGAAGTCGGTCAGTATTTATCCTCGATCTGTGCCTTTAAACATTTATTTTATTTTTG